GATCTCGTGTCGCGCTCGGGGATTCTAATTGTGGATTTCCGCATGATCACGGAGTGATCGAGCTGAAGATCTTTACACGGAGAACGAAAGCGATGAAATTATTAAATTAATAGATCGAAGTAAGGTCGTTATGATGGCACGGGTTATAGTGCCGTCTTTCCTTATAGCACTGAAAACATTTCGATCGGATCTTGCGAAATGTATAGCCTGATGAGTCAGTGAATTTCTCGACCATGAGAACACGAATGTATTAGGAGCGCAAAAAAGTTCTGAGCCCTAGATTTCATACTACTGAAACCACAATTTAAATTGCATTAATTTTCCCGCCTTCTTGCGGCTTTAAAGCAGTGACATTTGGTCTTTCGAAACATCGTGCGATTTAGCGTTTGATGCACATAACCTTAAAATCAGCAGTGTTCACGATGGCAATAACAAAAGAGCATATTCGATTTTCCATCCACTTCGCGTTTCATCTTAAGAAAAATGCTGCTGAAGCCACTGAAATGATCTGCGTTGCATATGGAGAGAACGCTGTAAGTTATGCTAGTAAAAGGTGGTATCAAAAATTTCGCCAAGGAGATTTCAGTCTTGAAGATGAACCGCGTGCTGGACGCCCTCAAAAGATTGAAACGGACGAACTGCAAGCATTGTTGGATATAAACTCTGCACAAACTGAAAAGGAGCTTGCAGAGCAATTTGGCGTTACGCGACAAGCCATTTCCATACGTTTACATGCAATGGAAAAGTTCAAAAGGAAGGCAGATGGGTTCCGCACTGTTCGAAGACAACAAAAATCGACGGCGTGACACGGCACTCACTTTGCTTTCAAGGTTCCGGAAAAAGGATTTTCTGCACCAAATCATTACAGGTGATGAAAAGTGGATACTTTATGATAATCCGAAGCGTAAAAAATCATGAGTTGACCCTGGTCAACCTTCGACATCGACGCCAAAGACCAATATCCACGTCAAGAAAGTTTTGCTTTGCATATGGTGGGATTGGAAAGGTGTATTGTATTACGAGTTCTTACAGCCGGGTGAAACAGTAACGGCAGATCGCTATCAGCAACAATTGAGCAATTTGAGCGATGCGTTTGAAGAAAAGAGGCCATTTACTGGCAAAGGACGTCGTAAAGTGATACTGCTTCATGACAATGCCCGACCACATGTTGCGAAAGTGACTCAGGACCATATCTTTGCGTTAGGCTGGGAACTTCTCCCGCACGCGGCGTATAGCCCAGACATGGCGCCTTCCGATTACTACCTATTCCGGTCTCTGCAGCATTTCTTGGCTGATACACATTTTGTGACACTTGAAGAGATACGAAAATGCATTGATGACTTTATCGCCTCGAAGCCGGTGAGCTTCTACCATCAGGGAATTCGCAAGCTGCCCGAAAGATGGTAAAAGGTCATCGATGCAAACGGGGAATATTTCGTTGATTAATATAGTTTTGTTTGTTTTTAAATAAATTTTGAATTTTGCAAGAAAAGGCTCAGAAGGCTTTTTTGCGCTCCTAATAATTTGTGACACGTGGCGAATATTCTTACCTCATTGGTTTGCTAATGCATTTTTCGCTCGTTTTCTTACGTGTGTATGTTTTCCGTATATTTCTCACTCAAATATTTATAAGTGAATTTAAAATCTTAATTGCACGCAGCAGCAGTTTATGCAGTTCAATTCAGAGTTATTGGGAATAAAATGATGTGCCTTTAGTCGCACAGATGCTTCAATCGTACTTCTTCCCTCACAGATTTAGCGTGACAACACGAAATTGACATGGGAAAGCAAGGTTGTTATTCCGCTGTGTACTAAGCTGTGATTTAGCTATCAGCTCTATGCAATCGCATCGATTTTATCTGTCAAACCTTGGCATAGACAGGCACCCAGTGTATGCAGTCAATAAGATATTAAATTGGAAAGTTTATGACATTTAAATGAGTCCTTCTTACGAATGGTCGTACTTCGAATGCGAAAAAATGTATGACTCCAAAGTTAGAATTATATCCGGGTGACAACTGCGCTATGATTTTGCAAATGCTTGTATAGCCGTCCCTGCGCATCCTTTGGCAATTCGTTCGAAAAGTTGTTTAATATTAGACAGTTATTTCTGCGATTTTAGTAGTTATATGAGAGATGATTTCAGCACAACTCCTTTCTTTTGCTTTGTCAGCTCTACTAGCACTCGTCAAAATCTCGCCGGATATACGTGAATACGTCGCATGATTAATTAATTGATAGTTCGCATTAGTATATTGATATATGATAATAAAATAATATATGATAACACTTGTTTCACTCTTCGTCGCGGCAGTCTAATTCCGTCATGTCATTTCGCCGATCAATGTACAAGTCTCATCTGTGCGGGGTTTACGAACGTTTAGCACAGGAAACGCATGATGAGATACAATCAGAGTGATATTACTTTCGGATGTTATGGACTTGTTAATCATCGCTGCTACTTGTTAATCGTCCGCCAAAAAAACTCACTCGATTAATTGATTAGTATATTTAGATCACTTCGTACTCATATTTATTATAACAACAAATTTACAAGTTTGGCTCATTTTTTTTATAATGAGAGAGAGATAGAGGGAGATAGAGAGAGAGAGAGAGAGAGAGAGAGAGAGAGAGAGAGAGAGAGAGAGAGAGAGAGAATGTCCATCTTGTTTAGAATCATACATTTTAATAGTTTAACATCGCCTGATCATAAAATGGGAATTATAGGACAAACGTCGTAACGATGACATCTTACGCAGAGAAAAAAAGAGAGATTTTATCGGTCTACTGTACAGACGCGAAATTAATATAGCAATTAATGTGATTAAAAAAATGAGACATATGTTAATCCGATGCGACACATTCCGGACTGAATACATCAATTGTTTCAGCACCTTGAAATATATGCGTTACTTATGCAACGTACCGAATTTAAAGACTGAATTTGGATACTGGATCGGAAATCTTAAGGTCATTCTACAATACGTATCGTAAGTTGTAAGCCGTAAGAACTAACCAATTATAGTCGATATTTTTGTAATAATCGACTGTGACTTGCCAATTTTTACGGCTTACAACTTACGACACGTATTGTAGAATGACCTTTATGTGCTCTACTTCGTTAGCCTCTGAGTATCGTACGATCGAGCGAAAGTGCACAAAACATAGGGCGCTAGATTCTCCTCGCGCGTAGAAAGTACTTGATGGTCACTTTATAATTGAAAACGTCGACTTTTTGTTGACATAACTGGCTCGTTCGTTCGATCATCGCGCGACCGACCGACGACGCAGGAAAATGCACAAATTGGGTGAGATAATTTACAGGATAGAAACCTCGGATATCACGATTTGCAGCTCGGTCCATATTTACACTTGCTTGTTAAAATTCCACTTTAAATGTATCACGTTGATCGAGGATGAACGAATAAATTGAGATTCCACGAACGGTGGTGTCACCTATGAACATGCCGCAATATGACATGAGAAAGAAGACGTTTCTCGATGCGTTTAAAACTGCAGTTGCTCCATACGCATCCCTGATTACGAATGTCTGCTTAACACCGATCTGACCACTCACTAATCGCGTTCGAGCAATCGCAAACCGAAGCCGGAAATTCCCTCTGTGTGCTGATCCATTTGAAAGTACATCCAGTTAACGTGACGTTAACGAAAACCAACACTTTCCTCTACTTTCCTCGGCCGAAAGTTTTCCCTCGCAACCTGTGCCTCAAAGTGAAGCGCTATTAGCTAAGTACAAAGTATAGAATATTAAGGCTCGTCTACAATAGCTGTAAGAGTTGAGGCTCGTCTACATTAGCTAGTAAGAGTAAGGCTGTAAGATTGCAAGACACGAAATGAAATATTTTCATTCGCTGACAGCTTACGTTACAGCCTTACAGCCTTACTCTTACAGCTATTGTAGACGAGCCTTAAGGCTGTAACGTAAGTTGTCAGCGAATGAAAATATTTAATTTCGTGTCTTGCAACCTTACAGCTTTACTCTTACAGCTAATGTAGACGAGCCTTTACAGACATATTCTTAAGGCTCGTCTACATTAACTGTAAGAGTTAAGGCCATTGCACGTACAAAAGTTTTAGTCGTAACCGTAAGTCCGTAAGCAAATTGATCAATCACAATTCGTATATTCGTATATTTCGAAATGCTGGATTGTGATTGGTCAATTTGCTTACGGTTACGACTAAAATTTATTTACGTGCAATGGCCTTAAGACTGTAAGATTGCAAGATACGAAATGAAATATTTTCATTCGCTGACAGCTTACGTTACAGCCTTACAGCCTTACTCTTACAGCTATTGTAGACGAGCCTTTTGTTATCCATGCGGGTTAATTACCATAAAGCGTTAACTTTGCTTTATCTTTTCGCCGATAAATTGCGAAACTTCGGACCAGTAATTTGCCGTACTTAGACAAATGTTAGAAGTACCACTTGTGCTTATTTTATGCATTTTTCGCTGAGCCGTTCAAGTGGAAGTCAAAACATCTGACATTCTCTGGTAAACACGTATTATTTCCAACGACGTTCAAATATTTACTCAAACGCACTGCATATAAACGCATATTCAGGTTCTTAAGTTGCTTGCCTATTATATTTTTTTATCGATTGGCCGCGAAATTCACGCGACCAATTACCAATCACTTTCCCCAATTTGAATAGCAAACGCGATTACGCACCGATTAATGTTTCCGTGTCACCACGGAGGGTTATTCGGAATTCTCGCGTTTACACAGACGCATATTCTACGTACGGCGCAGAAAACGGTTCTTCCGGCGAAAGACGAGGTGCGATCGAACGTGCCGCGAGAGATGTGTCGAAGAGTGCAGCCGAGGAACGCGTCGCGATTTGCTGCCGACGATCACGCTAGTGTGACGAGGGAGCGCGACCCTCTGGTCACCGGCTGACAAATGTCCTCGAGATCGCGGATGTGAGATGAGAGATTCGCGTTTGGATTGCTAAGAATTCGCGAAGCTTCGACTCACCTCGAACAGCGCCAACAGCAGCTTGATGTACAGCCGACGAACGCCGAGAGATTTGCCGATGGACGCGAGGAATATGATTCCCAGCACTAACATGAGGCATGGCATCAGGAACAGAGAGAACGCGAACGACACCACCATCCACAACAACGCCATTTTGTCGACTGCTGAGCGCATCGAATACCCGGTCGCTTTCACCGACGACTGCGGAAGCGCAGCGCCCTCTGTAGGTACTTAATCGTACATTACGGACGCTACACGTAGCGCCACGTAAAGCCAAATGCATATATGCTGCGTCGATTTATCGCTGGTAAATGCAATAGTTGGCTTGTTATTTTTTGAAGAATTTTCGAAACTGGTACACAATAGCGCAATAAATTCGCGAGTGAGATGAGTATATTTCTTTTCACTCTAATTTGTTGCATCAATGTGCATCAGTTCAAGAAGTTCTCTGAAAAACATCAGACTATGCCCGCTTCTACCAATTGAACTTTAATCTGAGTTCAAGTCTTTATCTGAATAGAGTTTAAATTCAAATTAAAGTTTAATCGATATTGGTAGACGCAGACATTAAGTGGTGTATCTCAATCCCGTAAATTCTTATTATCATAAGTTCATATCACAAGTTTATGTTCATGTGCTGTACGAATCGTTTAATTGGTTTCGGAGAATCTGAAGATATATTTTAAGATATTTTTAAATATAAGAATATAAGTTACAAATATAGTTTTAACGCAAATTGCTGTTTATCGGTGCAAAAGACCGAATTTGTTATTAATCTTTTGTTTCGTATTTATTGCACGGAACTTTGTCAGATTATTTATTATATTATAGAAACTTTATCGGTTTAATCAGTGAAACTAATAAATGCAAAGAAAGATAAATAATAAATGAATATTAATATGAATAAATATGTTAATAAATATCACCAACAAATGCAAGATGTAGTGAACAAACGGCACTCTTAATTCGCAATCAAAGTGCGCGCCCATGATATCACATGACATCACTCGCGAGTATTCGTGACATTGAACGGTTCTGTCGTGAGCAAGATGTCGACCGCCGAGCTAAATCCGAGACCTCTGCGAGTTTCTCCTTTTATTAAGGTAAAACTGACAGCTTTTCGAATTATATCGTCGTGTCTCTTATTCGCTTTATTGTAAAATTTGTTTATTATTCGTAAACGACCGATGAAATTTTTATCATCTTTCAGCGGTCAAATTAATTTCATTACATAATTTTTCCGCTGTTTCGTGAAGATATATTGAATTAATAATCTTGTATGAAAAACAACAGACAGTTGTTTTACTGTTATGTCAATTTATGACTTTGTATATATTTCCACTGTGTATATGATTTCCACTGAGAAAAGAAATCTAATATTAATTTTCTAACCTTTAGTTTCTTGATATTCTATACTATATGTAGTTATTATGGTGTTTGGATAATATCAATTTATGATAATATCATCTTATGTTTCAAGTAAATTCGTTATTTTTAACTATTTTGGAAGTTGATCTTATGAAACAATTGGTATATGGATATCCTCTAGTATATAAACATCTTATTTATCAATTGTATATTCTTATATTTTGTAGTTCTGTCGATGGAGTTTACTCCTTACTGGGACCGCATATGGTGCATATTTCCATAATAAATATAGTAAGAAGGAAAATGCTCGCAGAGCAGAGGAGCTGAGGCTTAAACCTATACGTGATGCTCAATTAGCTGAAGAGAAAAGGCTTGCACATCTGGGTAAAAAAACCTTTGATTATAGACATATTTCTAAGAAATATATTTTAATATTCTAATTGTGTAGGATAGTATTTAATAAAATAGTATTAAATTTTTTTTATATTTTATATATAGAATGTTTTGCAAAAATTGTATTTTTCAATCAATTTTTTAAGTCAAATAATGATTTTTCTTCAGTATAAATATAAATTAAAAAAATATATAAAGTACTTATGGTATTGGATCCCAATAATAAATTGATAAAAAAATATTTAATTTAAAGAAGACCTGGTTTTAAAATATTACATAAATATTTGAATGTATGGCTATGTAAATATAAAATATATATAAAATATTTTTATGTTTCAGCGGAAATGAAAATGTTGGAAGATTTAATGAAATCAAAACCAGCTGCTTAAATTTAATTTATTTGATTAGCATACATGTTCATAAAGTGGTAATTGATGTAACATATATATATATACATATATATATATGTGTGTATATGTGAGGTAGATAACATATTATTTCAACATCGAAAACAGTCGCAATTATTGAACCATATATTGTACAAAAATGTCTAATAAAAATCTGTGAAATTCATGTATTATATATATATATATATAATGTAGCCCAATACATATAATAGATCTATTAAAAAGAATGTTAAAATTTCATATATGTGCCGCAATTAATATGTATAAAATATATGTCAAGACTTATATTTTTCTAGTTTCAAATAAAAAAAAATCGCCCGAACAGGGACTCGAACCCTGGACCCTCAGATTAAAAGTCTGATGCTCTACCGACTGAGCTATCCGGGCAACTATACTTAGCAAGCTTGAAATATAGTAGTTGACCTGAATGTATTCTATACTATCCCTATAAGGGTCATTTAAATAAGGAAAAACACTATAAGAGAAAAAAAGAAAGAAATATAATCGGTCTGTACTTTCCTCTTCGAGCTGAAAATATAGACTACATTAATACTGATATAACTTAATATTTATACTATTAGTAATAAAAATTTAAAACATTTTAATTATTAAATTAAAAAGTTTAATGTTACAAAAGTTTAATGACTACATTTACCAAATATACATTTATTATTGTACTTTGTTTTCTTATGTGAGATTCCTGAGAACGTATTTCGTGCGCGTGCGCGGAGACATTTCTGAATAATGCGCTTACATCTGACCGGAATACCCGGTACCGGGTATGCCACATCGTTGGTTTCAGTGAGAATTTACATCTCAAGGTAGTACGATGGATACATTTTTGAAAATCGTCTGGCTGCTTGTGTCAGCACTGTCCCAGTCAACGTTACAGCTGACACTCCAACGTAAATTCGCCGAGACTCGGCAAGCGGCTACTAATTACGACACATCGTATGATGCCAAATATAAATACGAAATCAAAACATTTGACGTGCGCGTGAGTTGATATTTCTCGTTTAACAACCGTTATTGAGAGTTTTACCACAATTGTAAATTATATGGCTATTGTGTATACGAATACATAATTATGTACACACACACACACACACGCACGCACGCACGCACGCACGCATAATTACATATTGTAAAAAAAATGTGTGTACATGTATGTATATGTACGTATGTATGTACTTAGTAAACACATTAAGTAACAATAATATTATAATTTTTTTTTCTTAGAGTATATTTACTATATTTATTCTTAGAATAGTATTATTTCATGGATTTGTTTCCAATATTTTGTAAACATTTCAGTTCATTTCTTTAGCGAGAAGAACACTTTGAGTCTAGCTTGTTTTAAATAATTTTAAAAATATTTTTATCAGTGATAATTGTGATTTTGATCTTTTATGATAAATATATCAATTATGTTATTATTTCAACTGTTAATTTTAAATTGTTATTGATATTACATATATTTAAAGGTGGATCACTTTAGCTTTACCATAGACCATACCTTTAAATTAAGATATCTTATTAATGATACTTGGAGAACAGAAGATGATGCTCCCATATTTTTCTACACTGGAAATGAAGGCAGAATTGAAGTTTTTGCTGAAAATACGGTAAGAACAAATGATTTTAAATATATTCTAATTAATATATTCATCATATTATATCATGTTATTTAATTTTTTAATTAATCGCACTAAAATGATTAAACATATGGAAATATTGATTGTATTTGTGTCTTGTATATCCCATATGTCATGTTTTTATATGTACAGTAAATAATAAATTTTATAAAATTATATGTTTGTTAAATACATTATAATATCATTGTATATACCAGATTAGATAAGAATTTTATTCTAATCTAATCAATTCAATTGCCCATAATTAATAAATAATAATAATAATTTATATTACTTGGATTAGCATTAAGATCAAGACCATCCATTTTCAGAAAATAATATACAATATATATGAACATATGCATATGTATATTTAATGATTTGATTAATGTAATATATTTGGTAGGGCTTTTTATGGGAAACTGCTCAACAATTCGGTGCACTAGTGGTTTTCGCAGAACACCGTTATTATGGCGAGTCGTTGCCTTTTGGAAACAAGTCCTTTGCTGATCCACAGCATTTGGGATATCTGACATCTCAGCAAGTTCTGGCCGATTACGTGGAACTTATTCAATACCTAAGGTCAAAGCCGGGATACAAGCGTAGTCCGGTGATACTTTTCGGCGGCTCATATGGTGGTATGCTGAGCGCTTGGATGCGTATGAAGTACCCTCATATTGTTCAAGGGTGCGTTTATCAATGATTGATAATGTTGTTGTGATTCTGTCTTAATTATATAGTTTGAAGTATATGTGCGTAGAAAAGAATATACGTATTTACTTTATCTTATGTTTAGCGCTGGAATCGTCGAGATATCTTGGAGATTGGTTGAAAGAATTTACATATAAGATTAATCTCACCAACTAAAATTAAGTTTAATCGCGATTTTTAATTAACCGCATTTTATCCTGGTGTTAAATGTTAGCGAAAACTACATTGAAGACAACACTGTGAAGAGATTTAAAATAATAGGAAATCAAATTGAAAATATTGGACATGTGTGTATGTGTATGTCGTAAACTTATTTCGTGTGGATACGTATTAACACTTATAGTACAACAATATACAACAATATAGTATAATAGTTATATTTAAACAATATATTTCTCTACGATTGTCTGTTTGCTATTTAAGTGTGAGAATTCTCATTTTATTAGATGATAGTTAATTGCGCTGAGTTTATAAAAAATATATTTGTTGCAGTGCAATTGCAGCCTCTGCTCCGATTTTACAATTCACCGGCATCGTAAAATGCGAGGCATTTGCCCGGATAGTAACGTCGGATTTTCGCGCTTCGAATCCGACATGTGCCAAACTTATTCGGCAATCGTGGAACACGATAACCGAAGTAACCTCAAACGGTAACGAAGCAGTTTCAATGACAATTCAATGTAATCCGTTTGACAAGTTCTCTTTGTACCTTTATTGATTTTCTCGTTTTAGACGAGGGTAAAAAGTGGTTATCGGACAACTGGAAGTTGTGTGAACCACTGAAGACTGCGGAGCATGTGAAGACATTGAAAGATTTCCTACAGGAAGTCTACACAGACCTGGCTATGGTCGACTATCCATATGAGACTAATTTCTTAACACCGTTGCCGGGCAATCCGATCAATGTGAATGCTTTATACTTGAAATTAAATTAACAAAGCTTATGAGAACACAGATTATTGGTTGCATGCTTATGCGTAAATATAATAATACTAAATAAGACATTTAATTTTGTGTCTTATTCTATTTATCACAACCAGTAACTGGCATCAACTTCCATTAGCTTTGTTGATTTAATCCATTTATATATTTAAGAATTTTATACTTCAACTGGTAAACTTCTTTTTGACCGATTCTTATGGATTCTTTACCAGCAAAGTTGACCTGGTCTTACATTTTTTAACTATTTTGAGGCTGAAAATTTGTGATTGTTTTTCTTTTTCTTTCTTTCAATCAGGTTTTCTGTCGGCACTTGACGAATTCTTCGTTGACGGGAAAACCTCTATTATTAGCGCTTCACGGAGCTGTCAGTATTTACACGAACTATACCGGTAAAGCAACTTGCATCTCTACTGAGAATGCGGAACCAGGCTTGGACGCAGCTCAAGGATGGGATTATCAGGCGTGTACAGAAATGGTGATGCCGATGTGTCCCGACGGTGTCAACGACATGTTTGAGCCGTCAAAATGGGATTTCAAGGATTACAATAATACTTGCTTCAAGAAATATTCAGTGACTCCGCAACCTCACAGAGTTTGTCAGCAGTATGGTTGCGAAAATCTTTCTACCGTGACTAACATCAATTTTAGGTACATAAATCTTCGTGTAAAATATATGTAAAATATTTTTCTCATTTCGAACGTCTCTTCAAGACTTCCGTTAAAGTTGATAATAAATCGTGGTATATATAATCGATATCGCTACTTTGTATATTTCTTATCTAATCTTCATTCTTTATATTATCCTATAGTGAAAGAAGTCCTTTGCAATATAAAAATATTTTTAATCCTCCGTTTTTGCACTTCATTTCTGCTTCTGTATGTTCCGCACAGCTTGTTTATTGGTAAATTTTAAAACCATGTTTGTATTTTTATATCTTTATTCTTTTAGCAACGGATTGCTAGATCCATGGACGAGCGGAGGTGTGCTGCGGAACTTGTCTTCGTCAGCGATAGCTATCTTAATCCCAGATGCCGCGCATCATCTCGATTTACGGGAGAGCAACAGCAATGATCCGTACAGCGTCATTCTCACACGCAAGTTCCATCGGTACTCTATCAAAAAGTGGATTGACGAATATCGCTAGAATGAGACTTCTGAAACGAAGTTCGATAGAAAAAGCTGTTTTGGAATTATTGAGAATAATTACTTATACGCCCGTCCATTTTCTCTCGAAACTCTTTATTTCGCAAAAATGATAAATACAAGAACTAGACGCGTACACTGCGACAACAATAAATATCTAGCAGTGCTATGGGCTGCTTATAAAATTAAATAAAGCGTCGACAAAGCTCCATCGAAAACATACGCGAAAATATTTCGATATCACAGTAAATAATAAATGCGCTTGCTTCGTCAGGCATTATAAATAAGACATAAAAAAATTCGATAGGGTATAAGATGCTTTCGAGACAATGCGAAAGTCTGAAACACATCTCAATAGGAAATCTGAAAGATTAGACTGTCTTTCAATAATTCTCATTTGGATACTACTAGAGCACATCAAAATCGTCGTTTCTTCAAATAAGAATTCGTAAAACGCCACTATCGAGATTACTTAATGCTAATACTTGACAGTAATTGTAAGTATGCGCTGTATCAGTTTCCCTAATTATTTCTTTATCGTATTTTATGCGACGAAGAAATCATGTAGGACGTGAGCGAATAAGGTTACCAATTACCAAAGATGTACGAATCTCGAAATATAGACAAAACTTTTCTTAAAAAAGAGAGAGGCAGAGAATATCGTATTTGTAACTGAATTTATATGTTAATTTGTGTCATGATGTGATATATATTGATTCTTTCGAACTCTCGAATTCGTTTCTTTTTCCACAGGTACAGTATCGTTTTCATTTTTCTAACGGGCTTATATATAGTTTTCCACGTCAATAGCGCTCTTTCTCGTATATTGTTAACACGAAAATGTGTATCTCTAGTAATTTAAACACACACAATTTGAATTTCGTGTGTCGAGAAGGTGCTAATAGTTTATATCGTGAATTAAGAAAAAAGAAAAGATTTGTTACTTGTAGATAAAATACCTATGTACCTCTTATAATGCGTTCTAAATACGAAAGGAATGTGTTTCAATAGTTTTTAGGTACATCTACTATATCTACATCTCATAACGAATATTTAAACCAGTATTTGTGTGCACTAACTGTCAGCTTCTACTGACCGAGTCAATGTTAAATTGTATCTTCAATTAATCGAATATATATATACGTGTGATGTATGGTCACGTATTTTCGAGACACATGACTGTATAAAAAAATTTCAAGATCTTAAAAATATATGTATCGCGAATTATGTTGACGGAAACGTTAAAATGGATGTGTTACATAATTCTTCGTATCTTTTTTGATCACGAATCGTCGATACGAGCAACAAGATACACTGCACGATCTCGCAAACGAATCGTGGATACGCGAGCATCCAAAACGAAAAAGATCTACAAAAGTATAAGAAGAGATAAACCTCTGTGACATTGTGGTCGAGGATCTGTGTCTTCAGTGCGGTGTACGCCGATGCGCCGTGGTTGGCCTGGGTACACCGGAACGACTTCTTACTTTTTTCGGTTGCACGAACGTATCGTCTATTCCAGTATTATAAGATAAATATATGTTTGACATATCTGGTGAAGCTGCCTGCGAACGAAAAAGATTTATACGATGATCTGTTGGGATATTTTGGAAAGCTTTGAAGTTTTTCAGTTATTTTTTAATAATTTTAGTAATAACGAGGAAAATTTCGTATTGTAATTATTAAATAAACACTTACGTCTTTAAATATTGGGTCTGGGAAAAAGTTCGTGGCGTTTTTCCCGATAGATGGCGTCAATTGCAAATAACTCAGGAAACACAGATCGCAGTGACACCACTAAACGCTCGTTGGAAAGGTGACACTTCGAGCGTTACTTTGAGTGTATAAACATCGAAATTGGTGCAGTGGTTGGAAAGTTGTTTGCGTTTGAAAATGGAGAAAAGTAATGAAAAATTGCGCTATATTTTGCAATATTGTTACGACAAAGGGAAGAACGCTGCGCAGGCTTGTGAAAAAATTTGTGCTGTGTACGGTGAAGGTACTTTATCAAAATCTGCTGCGCGGAAATGGTTCGCTCGCTTTCGTTCTGGTAATTTTGATGTGAAAGATGAGTCACGCTCTGGTCGTCCAATTACTGAAAAAGCTGAAAAAGTCCAGCAAGATAAGCATATCAGCATGTCGATATTGGTATGGAGCTAGGCATTGACCACAAAACTGTTTTGAACCATTTACACAAAGCTGGCTACAAAAAGCTCGATGTATGGGTTCCTCATGAGTTGAGCGCGGAAAACATGATAGACCGAATTAACATCTGCGATGCGCTGCTGAAACGCAATGAAATCGAGCCATTTCTGAAACGTGTCATAACCGGTGATGAAAAATGGATCACGTACGACAATCGGAAGCGTCAAAGATCGTGGACAAGGGATGGTGAGCCGTCACAAGCGTTCGCGAAGCCAGGATTGACGTCGAAAAAGGTGATGCTGTGTGTGTGGTGGGACTGGAAGGGAATCGTCCACCATGAGCTACTTCCAGTTGGTCAGACGATTGATTCTCAACTCTACTGTGGACAACTAGAGAGATTACGCCAGGCAATTGAAAGAAAACGGCCCGAATTGAATAATAGGAAAGGTGTTGTCTTCCATCATGACTACGCCCGACCACACACTTCTTTTATGACCCGTCAAAAATTGCGAGAGAGAGCTTGGTTGGGAAGTTTTGATGCATCCACCGTATAGTCCAGACATAACACCCTCTGACTATCACTTGTTCCGATCTCTGCAGAACTCTCTCAATGGAATTAAGCTGGTTTCAAAAGAAGCCTGTGAAAACCACTTGATTCAGTTTTTCAACCAGAAACCACAGAAGTTCTTCACTGATGGCTCTACCCGAAAAATGGCGAAACATTGTCGATAATAATGGAGCATATTTGTTTTAAATAAATTCATTTTCACACTATAAGACAACCAGTTGAATTTTACTAAAAAAACACCACGAACTTTTTCCCAGACCCAATATAATTATAAAATAAACACTTACATCTTTATTATTTCCTGCTGGCGATGCGGTTTGCGCTTTACGCATGTTATTTCCCGTATACGCCACGCATTTGAGCTGCCATTCACCAATATCCTCATTCCAATGAACATATCTCTTGATCATCGTCTGTAATACAACACGGGTGGATGTAAGACAAGTATTTAATAAATCAAATAAGTATGCTGTTAATTTAGTTAATTTCGATGAATATTTCCGAGATTTGTGTTTTAAATTTTTTACTCTTGATTCTTGGTTGCATTAATTCTTTATTTTCTACTTTAATTTGAATTTTATTTCAATGCATTGTTATCTTCTTTATTCGATGGAAAAATTCACGTGAGAATACTTGCACGCACCTGATACTGAACGGGAATGTAATGATTCACAATCAGATTCTGTAGTTGCAATTCTCTACCGATTCCCCGTACACCTTCTAGAAGGCCTTCCATCTCCCTTTGGTGTTCCTGCTGCAAGTCGGATAACTCTGCTTTGACAGACATCAACATTGTGTACACCCGCGCCAATTTCTTCGTTTTCCCAGCTGCTTCCTCCTGCAGCGAGGAGTACTTCTCTTCAATGTCGATGCGTTCCGCCTCTTTCGCTTTGATAGCCTTCTTCAGTTGTTCCTCTCTGCTTTTTCGCTGCTCAAGTTCGATCGCCGCGGCTGCCAGCAATTGTTCTTGGGCTTCCGCCTTCTCCAATAGATTCTCACCGCCCACTAAAATCTTGTTTTGCAAATTTTGCATTTTTTCTCGAAGTGCTTCTTTCTCGCTTCTGGAATTGTAAAGTCCAGCTTAAAATCTCATGCACGAATATTATCTTGTTATATATTCGTTACTTATATTAAAAATGTATGTTTATAGGTGAAGATTGTCTTATATCTAATTTTTCATTTCGATAAACTTACTGAGTCCTCTTCAATTCAATGACGTCCTTATCCACGGGGCTTTTATCATTTCTCTCAGCTTTATCGATCTTCTCTGTCGAGTCTGTGTCTCCGTCTTCCAATTCTTCCATTGTCAGCATTTGACTTCTCCTACGTCGAACCTTCCTCTCTCGCTTCGTCTCTTTTGATTCTTCCGAATCCTCAGACTCTTCCTCGGACTCCGAGAGCTCCGCACCGTTCTCTTCCAATTGTTTGCGCAATTGTTCGATTTCAACTTGAAATTGACGAAGCAGAGCATCCTTCGGGTCTTCGTTGATCCTCGCGCGATTTTTGATATTCTTCGCGCGGTTAGCATAACGTAAAGTACTTATAGTCTCATCGTAGTTTATGTCTGCCGGACTGATATTCGCACACTGCAATATCATATTAATAAAGTTATTATCAGATGTTCAATAAAAAGCTAAACTTGAATAAATATGATATTTGATATATTCACAAGAGATTTTGTATGATTTCATAATAAATAACCACACATAAAGTATTTGTATCATTGCTATCGTACGTACCATCAATGTCTTCGAGTTTCCACCCAATGAATCTTGAAGCAACCTGGTCAGCTTGGAATTTCTGTAAGGCACGTGAGAACTTTGTCCGTCGACCAATGCGGATATTACATTTCCCAATGTAGATAGTGACAAGTTAATCTTAGTGGCTTCACGAAGCCGTATCCCGGTAGCTTTCGTTCTACTTTGTCTCTCTGATCCCTGTAATACAAAAATGAAAAGATACAGATAAAGAAGTTCAGAAGTACAGAAAAAAATCTACAAGATGTCATACGCATATGTGAAAAACAATATTTAGGCTTGTATTATTTTTCACGATTGTACAATGTATATTAAACATACGGCTAAATCCACCAAATGGAGTTTCCCCATTTTTACATGTTGCTCTCCATCTTCACCAATCTGACTAGATTCCACTGTGATGGTAAATATTGCGTGAGATCTCGAGCTCGATACATTCATGGCGGTAGCTCCAACAACACCTATATTTGCAAGTTTACAATTATTTTTGACGTTATTTATACACGTTATACATCAGTTTGTTAAATACAATAATGTCGTTACTCACGATTTTTATTGCCAAGCGACATTATGCGATCTAGATCGTCAGCATTATTTACGACGTATCCACTCAGATCCTTCACAAACACTCCAATGTCTGGTCGTTCCTTTACTTCCAACCGAGTATTCTGATCTTTGCCGAGAAGATCTCGAACTTCTTCATTATAAATTTCTAAGTATGTCGCTCGTACTAGAAATCTATCAACATTAATCACTGATTAATCTGTATGATCATTTCTTTGATGCAACAAATAAGTTTAATCTACTTTAACGACAAAAATATAAATTATGTATTAATTATTTAATGGCTGTTTTCCAAGATGCTTCATATTACAAAAATATATTTTATAAAATAGTTAGATTTTGTTTCTAAAGATAAATATATTAATGTCTTACTTCTGATTTTCATCAGCCTTAGCTATGTGCCCAAAGATCTGTGCAAATGTGTTTGGAATAATTCCTCTGGCTTGTGGAGAAGTTTTAGCACCTGACATGGTATAAGTCTTGCCGGTGCCTGTCTGGCCATATGCAAAAATTGTTCCATTGTAGCCTTGTAGTACTTTGTCTACTATAGGCCTGGCAGTCTCATTATAGATGTCTACTTGTGTGGAATCTGTATCAAATACTGCGTCAAAGGAAAAGACTTTCGGCGGTTCTCCCTGTGCTGCATTTGGGTTTTCTATAGTAATTTCGCCATTCAATGCATCCACATCTATTATATTCTTGCAGCGGCCATCCAATTCCTTGCTGCTCAAAGGTCGAACTCTTACTACCACCCTGACATTCTCAATTTCTCCTAATTCTGTAGAGTTATCCTAAATAAACATTATAGATAATGTAAAACCAAATCTCATATTTTAGAATAAATATTGTTACTTAATCTTAGACACACGCAATTTCTCATAAATTATACACTAGGATATAGCAGATTCTACAGTAAGATAAAAAAGAATGTTGATATAAAATAATGATTAATTTGCTATAAATGTAACGTTAAGAATAATAATTAAAATAATAGAATAATTATAATGATAAAATCGTTATTATAGAGATGCTGCAATTCTTCTTATAGGCCCTCAACCAAGTTTGACATTTGAGATATCAGAAGAGTCCATTGCCGATTTAGAAAACATATATTTGTTGTGAGAAATATTACTAACTTCGCTCCCCGGCATTGCGGATCCGTTTTCCCGCAATAATCATATAAAAGCGCACTTTTTCCACTTTCTTACAGCATTATGTAAAAACGTCAAAGTATTATCGAAACGTCAGGCTAGCAGACGACCTCCGTAAACAAATGGATCGATTGCTGCAGAGAGAAGCCTGAGAGCGGCTATGCTGTAAGCCTTTCTTGGAACGCTTTTTACGACGCGCCCTCTGAAATGTGAAATACTACAATTTTTATCCACTTTTCATTGGAGCTTTCATTCTTCCACTTTTCACTGTCATTGGAATATTCTTCTAGATTCATCAGGAATCTGAAAGTATACATTACTGAGCATTTTGTTTCGTCAGAGAGGAACCTGAGGGCGGCCAACACGGCGTTTTCGACGACAACGACTTTTTGCACTGGGCAAGGGCGTCATCTGCATCCATTTTGAGAGGGGAACTACGATGCTACATCCACTTTCCGGTCTCGGCGGTAAAACCTGCATATGGTGGCAGTCCGTGCTACATTCACATTCAGACGGTTCATGTCCGTGCTACAACTACAATAGAGTACTTGACAAGCACGGCCTCGCACATTGTTATGCGTTTGTAACATGAATTAATATGTTAACATGCGCAAAAGAAAAGAAGAATTGAGATTGTGTATGATTAATATCGTGAAAATTATATACATCGTATAAATACAGGGTGCCCGGTAATTAGCTGCCAACCCGAAGTGTGAAGGTAGATCGGGTTAAGACAAACATAAAAGTCCCATACTGTTTTGCGAGATTCACAATAATTATCGAGTTATTAGTGATAGAAATCTGAGGAGTAGGAGCGCGCCGACTTGTCCATAATCTCTTGATTCTGATTGGCATATGCTTTCAGATCAGGGCTGCGTTCCGAAATTCATTGCTAGTACTGAAAATACATAGTTTATGTCACGTATACTATAGAATTTCAGTGTTGGCAGTGAATATCGGAATGTAGCTCCTCTCAAGATCCAAAAGTAGAAATTCGCTCATCCTCAAATAACAAAATCTTTTGTTCGCCTTCGTGGCGATTGGATGTGGTTTCTGTAACTACGCATATTTTCTTTTTTTATCGTGGGGACGCGGTGTTCCTGTTTTTCTTTTACCTTCATAATCGTTAACTTCTCGAATATCCTCGTATCAACCAGAGGAATTGTCTTGCCGAAAAGCTGGAGAATGGCGTGTGGACGTACCTTACTGTATTCCTAATTCGTCCGGAGACATACATTGAACTGAATTGAACTGAACTGACCTTCAACTGACGAGTATTGTTTGTATCTGTCATATACAAGGCTTAGTGTTTATTTAATTAAGCACAGCGACATTTCGAGCAGTAATAGTGCTCAGTTTGTTCGCGTAACATCTCGTCATGGGTAACTGTTGTGCATCTTGTTACAAAGAACAATCGTCATACGAAGATCTTACTCCTGATCGGGTATGTATTCAACAAGGGTTATGTGCGTGCACTTAAATTCTTGCTGTGCGATTGTTTCTTTAAGTCGTAGTAACATTCTGTTCGATATCTATAATGACCTATAAGCAAAGTTCCGCACCTCCAGTTTTCTTACTTAGAAAAATTTTTTTGTTGCTGAAAAACTTCTAAACTTGTTTCTTATAATTTTCTTATTTTTATATTAATATAAGGATATGAAATTGTGCTACATAGTATATTTGACATGTTATTTTATACATATAATATAAAAATGACATTTATATGTGTTTGTTTAATCAGGAAACTATGCGACAGAGACAAGTGGAAGCAGCAGAGAGAAGAATAGCAGAGCAGCAACAACGAGGTATAAAAAATATAGAAGCTGTTAAAAGACAGCAGAAATTAACAATGGAACGTGAGAGGCGAGAACAAGAAGCTGGTGCCAGTACTACACAACCTACGCTAAAGGTAAAAATATCAGAATAGTTATTTCTTTTATTTTATATTGAATGTACTTAATCATATATCTGAAGAAAATTTTATTAATATTAAATTTTGCATATTTTTTCAGTGGCAAATGAATTAAATTGAAGAACGGTACTGTTTTTAAAGTGCACATATTTAATTGCAAAGTATTAAATATACTTAAGAGAAGAATATCTAATTGGTCATGGTGATACAGGGATTTCACATTATTAACAGCATAATACGATCACGCAAGTGCAATCTTATCTTCTACAATTTAAGAGTTCATAATTTTATGAACTCTTAAAAAGTTATAAGTATAGACTTTGTATATTTTAATTTAACTATATTGCCTTATCTACAACCAAATGGTTAGTAATAATAGTTTGTTTTTAGCTGATTTAATTTGCATTATATATTTTTATAGTAAATGTACTTTATAAAATATTTGAAACATTGCAATTGTTATAAAGTTTTGTATCACATTTGTGTGTGTGAAATTTTGTTACTTCTGCTTAAATCTATAAAATGCATATAATTCTCTATTTTTTTTATGGGCATATTATATTTGCAAGGAATATATATGATATATTGTTGAAAAAGGAATAATTTATCTATTTAAAACACAAGTATATAAAAATATATAAATTATATATTTACATATTTATATATATTTGCATTGTTAACACATGTGCAATTACAAATAAAATTACAATTGAATAGTATAACAAAACAAATATTTTAATATATTAACTTTTTTTCTTTGACGAAAATGCACTTATCAGGTTTCAAGTTTTTAAATTTATCTATGCCTATACTGAAAAAAAATATATGTATGCATTGAGAAACAAGACTAAAAATAAGTCATTTTTATGATATAATCACTTATACAAGATTGATATATATTAAAATACTTGATAAAATATTTGATATTTGTAATATTCAATAATTGTGTGATATATAAAAGAAGAAACTCCCCAATTAAATTCTGATACTGTATTTATATCTATAATATTATATTTGAAATAATACAAAATATACACTTACTATTATATATAATTATTATATTGCATTATGTTACATATATTGTATTTTAAAACAGCAATGCGCTGCATGGTAAATGTACAAATGTAATATATCAGAAATTACAAAGATAATTAAATGTGTGATGTTCCAATATATTTTTTATTAATTCGAATGTCTTTTGTATTAAATTTTGCAATTTTAGAAAAATCCTAGTATGTATAAATTAAGACTTAATATATATATATTTATTTATTTATTATATTATTATTTTATGTATATATATATATATGTATAATTTATCTTATACAATTTGTCGTAAAAATTATGTACTAGAGAATGAAACTTCTTGTTAGTACAATTGTACAAAACGTTGGAGACCATCATATGGAATGCTAATAAAATGTTGGAAATGGTATGATATTAGGTATTGTCATTAAAAGCTTGTGAAAAAAATTATATGTATAGTTGTTGTCTGTAAAAATAATTTCTCATGTATTTGTTTTTCACGCGAGAAATATTGATGGAATATGCGTCCCGAGAATTAGATGTTGTTCCCGAAACAAGTTAAAGAGAAGTCTTATTATTTCCTTTTCTTTTATATTAATATACGTTAGATCGATGTTGTACAGCAGCAGTATGCCGTTCTGTTTGAATTTCATATTTTTCCTATCCGATGAACCGACCAAGAGCGAAACAGCTTTTTCGTCGACTTATTCTTAAGCTCTTTTCCGTGAGCGATTTGTACTTCTAACGAGGCTCCGTTATTCAACGCCAGCCACGTGTGAATCTCGTCGCTAGCGGCGGACACCCCTAGACATTCATAAACAAATGAATTTATGTATAGAATATATGCAAACACTGAATATATAATAAAAAAGTATATAAATATATAATTTAGTGTATAATGTATAATGGCCGAATTTGATAAGGCTGTGATAATGTGATGTAACATATAATTGAATACATCACATATTATAGAATAATATAGATAAGAAATATAGAATAATAAATGAATATATCTCATATAGTAATTATAGAATAATATGAATAATAGAATAATAATTATATGTATATATTACAGAAGAAATATTTAAAAAGTATTATACCTAGCAATTCGTATAGAGTTATACGTCGACTGGCTAACAGTTCCTTGCTAGCACTCCTTATTTCAAATATCAGTAACGCTTGCCTCGGTACACCATCGCCTTCTATGTGAAAATCGATGCTGAATTGAGGATTAGGCATAGCCGGTAGCAGTCGTGATTTGGCGATGGTTTTACCGCCATTAGCTGACATGATCTTGTCAGGACTGGTGCACCTAAAAATCTTTAGCTCAATCACCGAGTCTGCAAACTGCCATCGTCACATATACGACATCAATATCAAAATACACTTACGTCTGAAGCTTCACACGGCAATATAATTGGGCGATATGCGCCACGTGAAGGCCTTGTGCTTGAAGAACCTTCCCTTCTACACCAGAATACTTCTCTCTAGTACCGTTGATGATTTTTAAATCTATAAAGAATCACATGGGCCTATTTCACAGATTTTAACATTAAATTTCTGAAACCCTAAACAAATATTGCTTTCCAAGAAAAGAAGCTTTACTATTCGCACAGAAATAGAAATTGACATATTTTTATTTTCTCAGCTCTTATGTTTTTCAAATTAATGATAAGCATGGCAAAAAATTATATACAGTTTCCGCATGGGGTTTAAAAAACACATCTATGGAAGATTTTTATGGATTCTACGTAACTACGTGACGTGTTATGAAATATTAAGCCAAAGAGAATTGATACCAAACTTCTCAGTGTCATCAACTAACCATTCGGTCTCAATCTTAATCGCGGACTTGGTTGCCTTATCCTACCCAGCATATCTGGTTGTGACACCGCGTGAGCCAGGCCGGATTCCGACAAGAGTTCCGTTGCATCGGCCTCTCCGCCGCCTCTGGGCTCCAAACTCAACGTGATACCCTTGCTCTCGTTCTTATCTTCTATATTTACTTCCGACCGAAATCTACGAAGTTTTAAACCTCTCTTCACCTACAATCACACGACGTGCCTTGAACTGACATGTTGACCACAGTAAACTCGATGTGTTTATACCTTTTGTTTCATCACGCGGAAACTGTTATATTGCGGTAGTTTCTTCCCAAAACTCTGTTCAGGACTGGGAGTAAGGCTGTGATGAGAGGATCGTCTCTCCCTGTTTTTACTCGTATCAGCCTCGTCGATGGAATTATCCGCGGTGGATTCGGCGATGACTTTTGGAATCCAGAAGCTCGTCGTGCCGTTCGCCTCGTTCGATTCTTTGCTGGTCACACTAGCTTTATCTGCATCACAAATGATACACAAGTCCTACAATAAACTGTAACTGAACGATACTCATTGTTATGTTCATTGAAGATTGAGATGCGTCAAGGATATCAAGGATAAGGATATCAAATACGTCACAGACACTTCAACGTTACCAGACTGGTTAGACGTCGTCGGCTTCAGAAGAGTGACAGTGCGTGGTGGAGGCGGCGGCGGTACTACCGGATCTAAATGCAGGCGTATCTTGGACTTCTCCATGGAAGGTCTTCGCACAATACTCGACAAGGAGTCCGGCTCGGTGTTAAGACGGGAAGAGTTGTCGCTGATATTACTGGTTGCATATGTGCTTTGTGTCTGAAACGAATAATTCCGACTGGGGATTCAACAAGATTTAGAAGAAGATAAAGATCGTACGATAGCAGTGTGAGACAGTGTTAAATGATGGCAGCAGTAAATATATCATTGTAGAATATCAAAGTTACTGTGTCGTATGAACACTGTACCTCGCATTCCTCCGACAAGACCTTGATTTTCAGTTCCACAGATCCCGTTTTGGTTCCTCTGAGCGTGAACCAATGGGACTGATCGTTGCTCGACAACTTTCTGATATCGTCGAGAGTCAATGATACTTTCCCGAGGTAGTCCTTCATGCCAAAAGTATCATGATCCCATAACACCTGTAAGAATCGATTAAAAGATTATTCCCTAACTCTTCCGAGCCGACGACATAAAATCTTGCTGCAGAGCGAATTTGCGAAATTACGATATCTAAAGTTTCCCCGCTCCTTGGCAAGCCCATGATGGAACTTTCATCCCAGCAAGGATTCAGCGTTTTCTTCTTTATGCTACTCTTGTACTTCGTATCGTTGTTCAGCTTCAATTCGCAGAAAGGATCGCTGAAGCCGTTCAAGTCTTTTGCGACGAGATCCTTTGCGCGTAACAGCGTCACCTCCATTAAGCCGCTTCCGGTAGAGAGTAGGCTGGATATATCGGAGGAGGCAGGATCGACATCTTTGTGTGTTAATAACAGTTTCTGAAAGTGTTTTTAGCCAGTAAGCTACCAACTAACGGTTACATCACATCAATGCTATAATTTTTTACTCAACAATGTAATTGCAGTAACATCGTTTAGTTGGGAAACAATAACATTAGCGTAATGTTATTGTTAGTGTTTACGGAGTTATTAATTTAATAGCAAAATCTCTTTTTTAGGGAAATGCAAAATTTCGTGACTAACAGCTTGTTGCATCCACGGTAGACTGTTTCGTTTGATTTTTGGCTCGTCTTCTATCATAGTCGGGGCCATACTGCTCCTACGGCTGGTGAGCACTTGTTGTATACTCTTCACAGGATAAAACAGAACGGAGACTGTCATAGTGGAGACTATGTTGGTACCATTCAGCGTAAGTTCTTTCCTGACGATCCAGGTCGTGTCCTTCGGAAGAAGAAATAATAATGCGTTTCTATAGCAAGATTTTACACCATTATCGCTAAGAGCAAGATATATGAAACACTGTCGTAAGAAAAACTAAAAAAAAAACGTAACGTAATATGTCTACAAAATAAAATCCCTTTTATATATGAAGTTGCATTTTTAAAATCATTATCTGGTTCTTGTATAAAATTATTTAATTTTGGGAAAGTCATTGAATTACCTGCGACAGAGATAGCATGGCCAGTCCGAGCATGTCCGTGTCTACCGATTTTGATATATTCCACGAATAAATGACGAAGCTTAGAGACACTTGGGTGTAATCCTGCACTAAAAACTGCGCTCTGCAGTCCCAAACCGGCGAAGTGGTCGAGCGGACGTAGTGTGTTGTTTTCACCTGAAAGTTTCGCAGAACATCGACAGCTTGTATACGTATTTTTTTTTTTCATGTCGCGTGCGTTCAAACGTTGCTTGAACATATTCGACGATAATATGCAAATTGCTCTTACCTTCTTTCGATTGTTGAATAACATGCAGTAAGGGTTGCACTGAGCGGCGTCGCTGTTGAGATTGTCGGCGGAATGGATGTAAACCACCAGCACCCCTGAAAATGCGCGATGCGCTGCGTTAAACGGGCAAGTGTCCTCGCGAGACATTTCATCGGCTCTACGAGTCTTCACGAACAAGCGAAGAATAAAATATAATCGCGCTCGACGAGGTCTTCACTACTGTACGAGCTACGTCTCGTACGGTAAAACCATCGAGCGCGCGATCTAACGAAACAGTGCGCCAAATCAAAGAATAGTACGGTCATGCTCAACGTATTCGCATTCACCACTCGACACATCGATTAGGTTTACCTGCTTTGTTCGCTCTGTGGTAAGAATCTCGCGACACTGAAAATATTTCATACGATAATACGCTGATCGCACGAGAAGAGGGGAAGTATCTCGGATACTTCATAGAGCTAGTTTCGCGACTTGCCATCGTTCATAACTGATTCCTCTCATTCCTACGCTTTACTTTATTGTAGATTCCATATTTTTATACGCGTATATGTACCTGCAAGATGCAAATTGTCAGCTGCCAAGTCCGGCTGCGGTAAGTCGGGATCCAAGTGCGGCAGAGCGGTGTATTCCAGCCGCGCGTTGATGTTCGGAATATTAGTGCTATTGCGGGACGGTTTCTTCTGTTGCAGCATGGTTTCCACACTGTCAAACCGAGATGAATGAATTATTAACGTCAACGAGTCGAGGAAAGTCCTCTTGTCTAGTCGCAAGTCCCTCGATTCTCAGTTGAACCGGTTAATTGATCTAATTAGACCTCGGTCGTCTCCAATAATCGTGATTGCACTTAATTATATTACTCGACTCGACGTTGTGTCTAATCTCTGATGACTGATCTTTGAGTCGTAATTCATTTTCGAGTTATAAGACCGGAGCGGCGCGTTGAACTGCGCGTATTCTTCGGCGTAGTCTTCAATTAAACGCGAGCAGTACGCCACTTACACCTGCGAGTTCTCCCAATCGTAAACTCCCAACGCCAACTCGAACTGCGCCAGAGTGATGGTACTAACGAGCCGTTTCGCCTTAAGCTTGATCGTGATCCTCTCGTTATCCAGCGGCCCGACCAAGAAGGACACGTCCTCGGTCCACACGTTGCTTAAATTCGAGGTGATCCTCCTCTGATCGCCCACCGTCACCGCGAGCCATCTCACTTCGTCGGCGACGTTCGCTAGAAACGTGTCAGGGAGGAAGGTTCATTGTACTTTACTTTCTAACGAGTACGTATGTATAATGGCTCGTAATAGGAATAGTATACGCGACCGAAAACGACCGTAATCAAAAAATAAAGTGTATCATTTAGCCGCGGCCGTCGTGTGAGAAGAAAGTTTCACGTCGATTAGATCATTTCATTCTGATTCTCCAGGGTAGACGAAGCGAGGGAGTTTAGTTAGCGTCGGGTGAACGACACGAAGCAGCGTAAAGTTAACGCGTTCATTTGATGTGCTCGAGTAACTCCGCACTTATATTGGTATACATCATGAAAATTTGATGAATAGCCTATCGTAGGCTGTAAGCATTGTTCTCTTTCTGTTGTATTTCAACTGGTTTTACTTTTAACCGTTGCTCTTAATTGGCCTTACTTCTTCTGGTCTAGTTTTCATGTGTCAATTTGAATGGAGGAAACTGCACGGTACGTTCGGAAGATGCTCGCTATTCCTAATGAGGACTCTTGTTTCGAGGGATCCTTACCGGGGCAGCCGTTTTGACACAGGACGACGGTGAGTACCCCTTGTGGCACGGAATTAGCCATGGAATCCAGTCCGGGACCAGGTCGCTCTTGAGCCCTGAGATCCATCTCTAAGTGGCCCGGATCGACCAGCCAGCTGGCCAGCGCGTCTGTCACCACTGCGTGGATCCAGGTCTTGATCAGGGGCATCTCCATCATCTGCACCGCCCGCAGAATCCTCACGCTGAACCAGACGTCTGGTTTCTCCAAGAAACTCACGCTGAGCCCGGTCGCGTGTGGGAACGGCGCCGAGGTGTTCAGGTTCAGGTTGACAAGGATCGTGCCCGATAACGACAACTTCTCCACCGCCAGGTCGATGTCCATCCCGACGCTGTCGGAGCGATTTTTACCGATTTTTCAACACAAATTCGACACAAAAAGAGGAACTTCAGAGGTATCTCAATCCAATTATGCGCGAATAATAAGAGCAAACAAATGCGAAAATCCGGAACTAATTTCCGGACTAATTTCGATTAAACATTCCCGTTGAGATAAACAAACGAAATAAATAAACGAATAAATAAAAACAAATAAATCAATAAATAAATCATAATAAATAATAATAATAAAAATCATAATAAATAAATAAAAGAATAAATAAAAATAAATAAACCAATAAATAAATCAATAAATTCATGAAAATGCTATAGCAATGCAAAGGTAAAAAATGATACTCGCGCAAAGAAAGCGGACAGAATGGTGTGAGATACGCGTATAAATTTCTCTCGCCCACTGAAGAACTGGAAGTGATTTCTTTTTTATTGATACGATAAGCGCTTCGTGTTTCTCACCCTTTACCAAACAACCGCGTGGTGATGAGCATGCGGAATTGTTCGCAGTCCAGCCGCAGGTCGGCTTCGACGGACAATTTTGTCTGCCCGGAATGATGTCCATTAGGGAGATCATCGTCGCTGCAGTAATCGAGAGTTCTCACGCGAGTAATGCACGGTGTCTGCTCGCCGAGGGTGAGTTCGCGCAATTCTAATGGACCTGAAACGAGGATGTCATGATAGTGCACGATGACGACGACGGCAACGACGATGCAGGTAAACGACGAAGTAATTTGAGATCCTTTGAACGTCGGTGATTAATTTCTTTAGCGAGCCTGCCCCCAGTGTCTCCCTTTCTTTCGCCCAAGTGTTTCTTAAGTACGCGCTTACCTAGTATACCGGGTTTAGCCTCATTAAGAAGAGGCTCCAGTCGTTCCTTCGCCAGGGAAAATATACTGGCGGCGCTGAATCTCCACCTGCGGGAATAATGCTCGACATTACGGACGAGAATCGCTCGCTATCATTAAACGGGTGTACGCTTACAAGGCGATAGAAATATGCGATAAAAATGGATGATGCATAATTAATTCATGATTGTACAAAATTATGTCTCACTAAATGACCGTGCTGATCTTGTAATCAGAATAATGTCCAGAGTCATCCGCACATTACAGTACGCTGCAACGCGCATTATTATTATTTTGAACGACACGATAGAACCATGATATAATGAAACCAAGGTAAAAAAAAAAAAAAAACATTTGCACATAAAAATACGTCTTTTATGTGTAATTTTGTAATTTTGAAACACGACTTTTCGTTTCGATTATCCGTGTGACTTAGCGACGCAGAAAGCATTTTCTTCATACGCGCTGGTTATTTGGGTCTTTTTCTTTTTCTTTTTTTATTTTTTTTTTCTTCTTTCGTCGTACCGAGATCTTGTCGAGCAGATCTCTCGAGAAGTCTCGCACGATGTGCTGAGGCACGGCTCATTAAGTATTCAGTTTAATTAAGCGAATGGCCAGATTTAATATGATAAAACGTTCGCCCGGAGCGTGAAAAACGCGCACTGACGTTTCGGTGCCACGACGAAATGAGTTATTTCGAGTTTATCGCTAACAACATCTCATTTTCGACACCGATAACGAGTCGATTCGCGTGATGCACGATACGCCAACACACAGCTTCGCGGTAAATCGATCGAGGAACGAGAGACCGGGCGGTTGAGTGAACACGCCCACGCATTTGTCATTTTTTAGAATGAATTAATAATGCCCGTTGCCCATTGACGCTTTCGCACGACGGCTACGTATGTCGTGAATGCCGCCGCTGAATATTTCTCTTGCGTACGCGTTGCGTTAAACCGACAGCTGTATTATTCATAACCGCGTCGTCGAATTAAAATACCAATGAATTTCTATTCTACCAGCATGATTACAGCCGTCGACAAAAATCTATATCACTCTCCACGCATGTATACGCATGTCGAGTGATCCCTGAAAATTGCCATTCGCACTTGCGATTCCATATTATCGCGTCTCCCGCGTGAAAACCGCGGCTTCAAACAAACGTTTGTCGATCGTCAAACAAACCGTGAAGCATCGTTCGCCGGAGTTTAAGCCAGAGAGTCCGTCTATGGTCCGTCTTATTATCCCGGCGCTTTCTGGATCCTACGGGATTCTATATGGCACGCTCGATTCAACAGAAATTCCTCCGAAGTCGTCGTTCGTTTCCTGCCTTTGCACATGATCAAATAAATGCCGGTGTGCGCCTCGACGCCGCCGTCTGTTTCCTTTATGCGCACGGTGTGTGTAAGCGTGTCGCTGAATTCATCGCTTTTTCCTCGCATGTAGATGTTCTCCGGCGGGTCTCCCCGCGGCGAGAACCCGCAGCTGGCTGTTCAGGAATGCTCGAACAGGTCTATCAACTATCCAAATAAGTAGCACTCTTTCCACGCCTATTCCCGCCTGCCGGGTACCGGCTGTTTTCAGGTACTGACAAACGAGGGAACCTCGAAAGGACCGAGGCAACATTGCCTGGACGTCCTCCGTAAAACATGTATTCTTCTCTGATACCGATTCACTATCCTTTCGCGAATTTGTGCGAATTCGAGTAGATGTAAACAAACGAACCGTCGATCTTGATCGAAGATAAAGCGGAATTGAAGATAATCTAACGTACGTATTCATCGCGCATTGAATTTAAAAATTAAAATCCGGCTGTCGGAAACGACAGACGTCGCGAATCTCGGAGAGACTTTTCGTTGTCCCCTTTTACGGCCGCAGCGTGTCGTGCCGCGTGCGGCGCTATATGTATGGTTCAGCGATGTATGATTGGATGATGTCGAATCCATGTCCAGAGACAGAGAGGAAGCTGCTTCGATGTATTTTAATTTCTGAGCGTCGATTGCTGCCCCTTTTTCGGCATTTCCGCTAATGAAAATTGCCCTCGGTTAATTCCCGGACAATTTTCCCATCGACGGTTTATTCGCCGTCAGCGAACGCGTGTCAGCGACGACGACGGACCAAGATTTTATCCGCGGCACCGGCAGAAACGTGAAAGGCCACAACTATACACATGTGCGGCAGGAATGTGGTATGTTTACAAATGCGTATTACTCGTTCTCGAACCGGGAGTTCGTTCACCTCTCCGATGCGACGACACAATCACGATACACTCACCGGAGTGTTACAATAGTGTTATTACCGCGGATCGGAGACTGCACGGAAGAGTGGCTCGCGCGAGTTCACGGAGAGTTGCATCGCGTTGCAACGTTATGCACAATACTCGGATCGCGGATTTTTCCTTCGGAAGTAGCTTTCGTTGCATCTGCAATTAAGCGCCTGACTCGAGCGAGTTTGCAATTGAGCATCGGCCGCAATTTGTCGCACGCGTGCATGATCCCTCCGATAGAAATTTACGCGAAGGACGTTCTCCCAGGATATTTACTCGCTGATCAAAGCGGACACCACGTATACGATACGACGATTCGTCTCCTCACGATGACGAATTTTTCCCGAGCGAAACGTCCCCGGAGCGATTTTCGTCGTTAATCATGGACGGAACGTCGCGGCTCCTCGAGATAAGGAGCCGCCATTGGTGCGTTAATGTGAGAGCAGAGAGATCGACGTGTACGCATTAAAAGAGCAGGTATATGCAGGTGGCCCTTTCTCACGATTAGCTTCCGCGACGTCGGGTCATCGATAGCCGCTGGAAAACGGTACTTGCCATTTATTGAGAAGCAGACTGAGCCACTCAGCGGTCTCGTCTTTGTACAGCGCACGTCTCCTACGTAACCTGGCCAATTCGTGCTGCAGCTCCGTCTGAAGGAGTCGGGACACTCTCGCTTTAACGATCGTCGCTGCCAATGCCAGGACCAGAACCAGCCACGCCAATGACAGTCCAGCGGCTCCTATTATCCAGGTGATCGTGAGCGCCACTCCGAGATAGAGAACGGTGCGGATCGCCTCTGCGTCTCTCTGCAAGGATATTTTATCCGGTGCATTCATGCGCGCGTGCAATGCTCGCCTTGTCATCGGACGAATGTGAAAGGGCACGGGCGTTCTCTTTTATTTCTCCACCCGCTCCTGTCGCGTGCATATCGCTTAATCCGGCAAATGTAAGCGCGGCCGAGAGTCACCACAACGTGCACCAAGGATCGTGTGAATCGTCCGATGCCGTTGGGGAGGGGGGAGGATCGTTAATGTTAATCGCTCGTCGATTACCGCACGGCGAAAAGAACTGGATCTTCCGTTGCCTGGAGAGGGGAGGAGGGGGAGGGGGGGGGGGCCAGACGAAAATTCGCTTGTCGGGAATAGGAAGATTCCTGCGGAAGGTGCTCGCTGTCAAGTTTCGCTCAGTTATCTCGTGATTTTTAATACGAGCTGAATGTTCCGACGAGTTTTCGCCTCTGCTCGATTCCACGAACTCTGAGATTTCCTTTGCGCGTAAATAGTTAATCGAGTCACAACGATCGATCTGATGAATCATTCATGATAGATGGACAGTTGCTCCTCCAGAGAACGCGGGGAAGCAGAAGTATCCTCGTTTTCCCGTGGAACTTATTTCTAAGGACCAATCGGGAGATGAAAGACGGACAAAGTCGTAAGGTATGAAAACGCCAGCGACGGCCCTATACGCCGCGTCTATATTTGTGAAAGTATTATTTTCTTCATTTATCTGCCCTTGCGCTTTATTATCCCGCTCGAGCAACTCGCAGGCGGAACTTTGAGATATGATTTTCTCGTTTTTCGTTCTACTCGCGTTTATCGTGCACACGAGGCCGTAAATATCAGCCGATCAGCCGGATTGCACTTGGGATGTGTGTGTGTGTGTGTGTGTGTATGTGTGCGTGTGTGTGTGTGTGTATGTGTGCATGTGTGTGTGTGTATGTGTGCGTGTGCGTGCGTGCGCGCCAACGCAAATACTCATATATTACAGGTAATCTTTCCGTATTCAATGCGACGCAAAAGAACATTAGCGATATACGAATAACGGCCGACAATGGCGACGCACGGTCGCATATACGCGACGGTCTACTGTTGCTCCCAGCGACGCGTTCTCGTAACGTATCATTAACAGCAATTACCTCGCAGACGCAGAGACCGGTGTACGTGCGTATCGCAATTTCAGAATATTCTCGGAAAATGTTTTCGTCCCCGCGCTCGTTCGGCCGTGCAGTGAAAGCCGACGTCACGCGACACTTCGCGACGTCGTGTCTTCGTCCTGCTAGGATGTAGGACATGATTCCTGCGTGCGCGTACACGCGACGTCGCATGCACCACCGCGAAAGAGTTTCTCTGACGTCATCGAACAGCGTCATTAACCTCGTGGTCGAATTTAATCGTACAATACGCGGCAAAGCGTAAGAGAAACACAGAGGTTCCGCGACTTTATATGGGAACTTCAGAGGGTCTCTCTCTCTCTCTCTCTCTCTCTCTCTCTTTCTCTCGCGTAAGAATAGACAAAGAAAACGTGAGTCATTTCGATCAAGAATAAAGATACGCGGCTTTAACTCCGTTATAGACGTGTGTGCGCGCGCATGCTCGCGTAAAAAACGTTATAATAATAAAACGAAAAATGTCCTAAAAATGAATCTTTTATCTCGTGGAATAATTTATTCTGAATTAAGCCGGTTTGGATGCGTGGAAAGATGTGTGCTCCGGTATAATTTCAAGGTGCTCCGTATAATAATTAAGGCGCTTGGATGGAAATTTCGTTACTCGACACCTGGATCGATTTCGAAAAAGAGAAGATTTTAAAGACGCCAGGGCGAGTTTCTCTCTCTCTCTCTCTCTCTCTCTCTCTCTCTCTGTGTGTGTGTGTGTGTGTATGTGTGCTGCAGAATTTATTATGTATCGTCGAAGAGCAACGCCTGCCTCGTTCTTAAAATTAAATAGAGCGATATTAATGCGATGATTACAACGCGGCCCTCGGTCTTGAGGACGAGAGATACGGACGCGTTCCCGTTCGCCATCGCGCATAACACGCCTTTGCGCAATAGTAATTCAACCTGTTTCGTCAAGAACGTAACGTTTCATTAATTGGAAAGTTGTCCAATGCTAAAAGAGGCGTACCGCGTCATAAAGTCCGTCCGCGGTGGTTCCCGAGCGAGCCACGTATGTGTGCGTCCGTGTGTTTCATCGAAAGCTATATTTTCCCATTTCCAAATTACAGCGAGGTTAAATATCATTATCGACGAGATTCTTTACCCTCGCGTCGTAATTTACCGTTCTCATACAGAGCGCGCCAAAACTCCTAACTCCTTAATTCGAAGATGTGTGCGACGTGCGAGAAGACGATTTTTTCCAAAACGCAGCTCGTGCCGATTTCTTTTCAGGGTAGACCGCGTTGTTAAAAAGATGCAAAAGATAAAGAAAATTTGCGCTTTCTAAGAATTATTTTTGCTTCAATTAGATTATAACACGATAATATAGAAATATTACTGCGATAACAAATTAAATGTATATTCAGCACGTGAAAATTTTTCTATCACGTGAAGCGTATGGAAAAAGAAAAAAAAACAAATCCCTTCAAACACGGCTGCTTTCGAATATAGCATGCGTTCGAAATTGTGACGCTAATATACTCCACTTTTCGAGAGGAGTGCTAATTACTCTCGGTAGACTAGCTAAAATGCGTTCGATAACGATCGCACGAGAAATCCCACGAGTTCCATGCCAGAAAGCGTTACTTCAATGACTTCCCACGCAGATAATCACTTCAGTTCTGCATCCATAAATTCAGGTCTCGAATAATAAATCGACACGGCGGGCTACAAAGAGAGGCTCCAGAAACCGTAAAGATCGCGATTCGCCGTTCATTCGACGAGCGGAGATACGTCTCGTATCACTGCTTTAATCACAATTCCCGCATGTCGTCCCGATCAATCGTAATTTCCGCTCCTCAGAGAAATACGAGATCTCTCTCTCTCTCTCTCTCTCTCTCTCTCTTTTTCTCTTTTTCTCTTTCATTATGTCGTCTGTGCGTCATCGAGAATTTCATTTGACGAATGACAATATTTAAATAATCTCGCGTGGTCGCTCAAGCGAGTATCAGCTCGCTCTAAAGCACAGAGAAAGAGAGAGAAGGGGAGGGGGGGAGGGAGAGAGGAGCGAACGTAGAAAATTGATGAGTCGCGCAACAATAGTTAGAACGCGGCCAACGACGCCGGCGAACGTTCAACGATGCATACGTCGTGCGCACGTCGCGAACGTGTCGCCGGGATATTCCGGCTCTCTTCCCTTGTCCGCGGAGTATTGTGCGGCTATGTGCGGTCGCTTTTACGGAATTGACGATTCAACTCGCGTGGGTTTCTTTGAAAAATGCCCGTCGCGCCACGGGCGCACCGGCCATTGAGATTACGCGTATATTTGTGTGCTCGCGGTGCATTCCGCGCGAGAAATACTACCTAGCGTGTTTTTGAGCGCGAGTAACGCGCCGAATGCGCGCGCGATCGTGCGACATCACGTTATTGACGCGAGAAAAGCCTGTCCTAGGTCCTCTCTTTTTTTTTTTTCCGTCAAAATCCAGCGGGATCCGTCGGTTGCCGAGTTGTCCTCGTGTAATTGTTTCGCGCGTAATTCGGGTTCGTCAAAAATCGATGAGGTTCTCCAGCGCTTCATCTAACACTCGCCAGGATATCCGTTTATTCACGAGTCGATGAATTCTCGCGCAAATACGCCGTCTTTATGATCCTGCGTGGCAGCGTGCAATTTCGTACACGGAGGAAATTTCTATTGATTAATAAATTAATTACATACACCCGTAACTGGAATATGTTCATAGCAAGGTCCATGTTTGTACAATGTTATAATAATCATAATTATAATAATCACCTAATAATTGATACACTAATTAATATAACATTTAATTATAATTAATAGTTCGTTCTCGGATATTCTTTCTTTCAGCTATATCTCATGTAACAATTTACATCACGTGTAAAATGGAGTCTCCTCTACTACGCTGTCGAGTGTTTTGAATGATATGAGTGTATCTTGAGCCGGACGAGCCTAGCTATGCTACTTTCTCGGTGTGTGCGAAAATGCTAATGTCTTCCAGAAAAATTCCCCCCGTGCGGTTTTATGTTCTCCTTGCCAACACTCCGCGCCGTTGCCTCCCGATGTAAGAATTATGCGCGCTACGAAGTTCAAGTTTCAGGACGAACATACGGGAGATCTAGATAAGGTCTTTGTTCTTTCCACATACACGCATACATACTAACAAGCCAATATAAAAAGCGTCGATTAAAGCATGCACGCGAGGAAGATTGCGGGGCACATTTATCGTGGCCTATTTCTGCCCGGCGTGTAATTCGGCGTGAGAGAGAGAGAGAGAGAGAGAGAGAGAGAGAGAGAGAGAGAGAGAGGGGGGGAGAGAGAGAGAGAGAGAGAGAGAGAGAGAGAGAGAGAGAGAGAGAGAGAGAGAGAGAGAGAGAGAGAGAGAGAGAGAGAGAGAGAGAGAAAACGACGGCACGGCGCGTGACACACATGTCGTTATCAGGGATTTATTATTCGGCTCGGCCGAGCGCGAGAAAACCGCCGTCGCCGATAAGTCGTACCTGTGCTTTCTGCGCGACGGCAAGGGCGAATTCTTCGTCGGGCGCGGGATCATCGGGTGTCATGTTGGCGCCCCCCGCCGCAACACCGTACCCAACGGTACTGTTAAGGGGCCTGACCGGACCTCCCGTTGAAGACGGCCAATTACCAACAGGATTCCCGCCTCCGATGGATTCGCGCTTTCCTGAGGAAAAGAAGATATATGCAAAGTCAGGGACGTGAGTACAATGTAAGGTCTACCGTACTACGATGTACTACTTCTCAAATGTGCGCGCAACGTATTCAGCACCGTAACGCTGATACAAACACAAAAGCGAGGATTAAACAGCCGCGTTTGGTGCTGAGCGTGCGAGCTCTGAAAATGCGGCACTCAAGGTCCAACGAGATGTCCAATTGTCGACCAATGGCTGCTGATTACGCGGAGAGCATCGCTTCATTGAAGAAGGGCGTCTTGCGAGCGCAGGTGCTGCGTATTTACCGGTAAATATCAGAGCCGCTGTTGTCTGATACGCTCGAAGCGCGCGTGTTCCGAAATTTTGGCGAATAATTCGGTGTTTAAGGTTGAAGTCCGAGGCTTTTTAAGTCTTCGAGCTCTTCCTTGTTTAATCCTGTTTAAATTTTCTATTTAATCTATTTAATCGTACGCACTTTCGAGTTTTCTGACTTCTTGGATCTATTCAGACGTTCGTTCGAGTGTTCGCACGTCGAAATCTCGTTATTTGTATACAATGCCTCGAAACTTCAGAAACTCGAAAAACTGAAGTTTCAAATGTAGTCTACGACCTTAATAGACACGTTTTAGAGACAGTCGTTTTGTCGTTCTCGCGAGAACGACTTCGCACGAGTGCGAGACTAGAGTATGCAAAATTGATCCCCTTACTCGAATCACGGACGAACTTCACAATTCGACTTCGTCGAATATCGCGTTAAATATAGTCCGGGCAATTGTGCGCTTTGCATATCGGAAGAAAGTGGAATAGTGGTGCGTGATTTCAGCGCAGATCGAGCGCCAGGTCGATTACGCACAAAATGCAAAAAACATTTTCAAATAAATGTCTCCCGAGATAGTCCGCCTGCACGTGCCAGGCGACACGCCGCACATTTCCAACGAACTCGCGATTAGTCGCATTTCCCGATCTGCTTATTTCCCGATCTTCAGCTGTCGTAAATCACTGGAATTTCTCGTCGTCATTGCGGAACGAATCGCGGAGTCCGAAAACGGACGGAGAAAGAACCCCCGGACGTTTATGGGAGAATGATCATTTTAATGTGCTGAGGGTTCATTCGATTTTACGCGACACTTAGCGCAATCCCCATACAGCCCGCAATTCGCCGCAGCCTTCTCGATTGCGTCGCATATCAATCAGCGTAGCGGGTAGAGCAGCGAGGACAAGTGTCAGGCTGAAGAGTTATCGCAGCGAAGAAATGTATGCACGCTGTACGGTGCATTCGCGCGGCGTATTCCGCGGAAATCCTCCAGCCGTTTGTTAAGCCAACTGCCTTGCTCAATGGCCGTTTCTTCTCGTTCCCTTTGAATCGCGTCCGTATTGACTCATTCTATCGTGCAAGTGTACCTCGGAGAAACAGTAGGTAGAGAGGATGAAAAGGGATTCTCTCTCTCTCTCTCTCTCTCTCTCTCTCTCTCTCTCGGCGTCTCTCCCGTCGAAGAAAGAAATAAATAAATAAAACGAAGCGCTCGCTTAGCGTTTCGCTCGTCGGCCATCGCCATCGGCTTTCGGCACGAAGGGCCGCGCCGGCGGAAGGGCGCTCTCACGTGACGATTTATATATAGGCACTGAAGAAGTTCATCGGTTAATTGTCTCAACGTTTCGTCTGTTCGTTATCGTGCGGCTATTATACGGCTATAATATCCGGTGACTAATTCAACGGCGGCTCGGCCGGCGCGAGGATATAGCGGCCGATAATTCAGGATGCGCGACCTTGACATTACGGAGCCGTGTACAGGGTGGAATTAATGTCGCAACCTTTCGCGATGTTGACGTCGCGCACACAGCTGCGCCGGGAGTAATTACTTCCGCGAATTGAATTCGGCGAATCACGCTCCGAGTCTCTTCCGCATGATATAGCGCGTACGTATCGGGCATTCAGGCGAGATCGCATCATCGCGACGGGCACAAATCGCGGCCGAAAGCCGACGAGCGGCGTCGAACGGGAATATTTCGCGCACCGCTGAGGATTCACACGTTCTTCGTGTTCGCTCCTTCGTCTCCGTTCCTCCCTCTTCACGTGTCGGCCAACGGCCCGTCATCCGGCGGACCGTGGCGTCGCGCGTTACGATGCGCGATCAGCTGTTTGCTGGCAACCCTCGGTCCCTAAGGGTCTCCGAGAGAAAAGCAATTTCGATGCTCTCGATGATCGCCGTGCCGTACAAAACTGCTCACGGGGCATCTACCTCGCGTGCTCTTCGCCGCAGCTGTGTATGCCCCGCTTCGCGGGCAGGGGGAGGTGTATCGATCAAATAAATTATTGGATCATTCCCCGTCTTCAGTATTCCATCAACGTGCGTATCACATAGTTTCTATGTGCGCGGAAACGCGCGTAGAGACGCGGCGATTCGCGCTCGATGGTTACTGCTGACGTGATATTGACACATTGTCGTGCCACATCGAGATAATAATAAACGGCATTTATATATTATTTAACTTACGCGATGTGCGATGCCCGCGTGGGAAAGGAGCAACGTCGAATCGTGGGAAGAAGAAGTCAAAACGTCCCTTTTGCGTCACTTGGCGCTTGAACCGGTCGAGCCGGCCGCGAAGAAAATGACCGGCTTGTGATTTCTTATAAAAGTTAGTCAACTTTACGCGAGGACGCATTTCATATTTTTAATGGACTGAATAAATAAAACGCGTGAAGCTAAATATGTAAGTAAATAAATAGAGCAAATAAAGAGTAATAAATAAATAAACCTGCACAGTTCGATCGCTATGGTGGAAACAAGCCGCGTTAGTCGTCTCGGTAATTATTAAAAATCGCACGATGCGCCGTGTATGTCCATATATAGCACGACATGAAATGACGCAAAGCGATCGCAGCGATTCGTGAAGCCAATCGAAGGATCTGCCGTTGAAAGGAGGAGTCTGGTATCCTGTGCATGTCGAGCTTGACCTGCTCTGTTTATCAGAAGCGGAAACTTAACGAGCCGTGCCGTCTGTGAAGCCTCGCGTGGATCTGCCGATTTGTCTGCTGAATGGCAAGCTCTTTGCTGGCTGACGCGAAATTTCGATCTTTCTCAAAAAAGTTTTCCTCAGGGAGGACGGAGGGAAGATCTCCGCTCGTGCTTTCGAGCGGGGTCAAGAACCGCGCAACGCGCCCATACCGCAGTTTCGCATCTAACACCGGCGAAATATTCGTGCCCCTTCTCCCTTTCCCTCTTTCCTCCGTCAATGCGTGGACCAGTTAAATGTTTTACTTGAAAGTTAAAACCGTTGTCACGTGGCGCTGCGGCGAGCGCGCTCATGCGCGAGGGCGTACCTTTTTTCAAGGAAGCTCCTCGCTTCGTGTGGCGGCCCATGAAGCTGGAAAGTAGCTGCATGCTTTATTCCCCGCGTTAACACTTTCCTCCTCCTTATACCGGTCGCGCGCGATCCCGATAAAACTATCGATCGCACTCGTCCGGCTCCTGGAAATACGCAAGGCGCCGGGTCACCGGGGCAGGCTCTTTCTTCCTCGAAGAGTGCTCGCCGCCGGTATCACCGTGGCCGAAACATTTCGCCGAGTCTTTCGCGAATATTTTCACACGGGACCAGCAGCGTCGCGTCGCATGCGCTGGCGAGCCATTCCGTTTTCCACGAGGTTCACACGCGAAAGCTCGAGAGGGGGAGAGAGGAGTTTGCGCGGCCGCGATTAATCGCCGGAATGATGAACGGCCGGGCGCAGCTCGAGAAATCCGCACGCGACGCTTCACACGTCGGAAAGCGCGAGCACATATTACGGATTCGTGAATTACGAGTATCCGGGTGAGTGGCGAGCTACGACGAAAGTCCTTTCGCCTCCGGTCGATTCTTTTTTTCCATCGATCGCTGAGATTACCGCTTTCTCACTTTCGTCGGCGAACTTTCTGCCGAAATTCACAGTCACCCTCAAATAATTGGGACGATCGAGGAGGATCGATTCTTCTCTTTTCTTCCTGCAACACACACGCTGTTGCGGAGGACGAAACGAATCTCCGCGCGGCGAGAGCTCGCCGCCGCGCTGCAGCTCAGTTTACGACAGATTGCCTCGCGCAAGAGAATCGCAGAATTTGCGACCGCGAAGTCTGGAAGCACTTAACGCGATATCGTTGGCAACGCGAGCCGAGGAGAATTCGTCCGCTGTTTACATCTCCTGGCGCGCCGCTTAATCCGCGGTCTCCACTCGAGACGGACGGAAATATCGCTCGCGAT